GAACGGAATAAAATCTATCCAGTGTTTATGATTCGTGATAATACACAGAATATTAACGCCATCTGCTCCGATACCGCACTATTTCGCTATCCTATTTTCCTCCGTAGATATTATTACGTATTATTTTATCTCATTGAAGATTATTAGAACTAGAATGTGTGTCCCCGTTCTGTATTTTTATTATTCATTATTGTTACTACTTGTATGTCTTCAATCTGGAAATAAACAAGCTTACGTTAGAAATATTAGAACGCACAATTTAACAGCTATCATCAAAAATAATCCATTAGATTACTTTGCTCTTGAAATATAGGAATTGATAATTGATAGATTCAACTCATTGTACCAATTTTATTTCTTACAATAAACAATTCTAGTAAACTTCTCTTTTACTCGTTTCAAACGAGAAAAACACTCGCTCTATGCGCGGTTCACACAACAAATAAATGTGAATATTTTGAAAACTTCTCTTTGTTGCAAATATATGAAGGTAGAAAAGAATCATTACAACTAACGATAGAATCTGCGAGGGCTTTTCTAAGTAATGAGATCGCTCCAATTATTTCCATCTAAACTTCCTCTAGAAGATACACATAGTACTTGAATCATGCTGTCTATACCACTGCATCTTGCAAAAAAACAGCAATATTAACACTGACGGTTCTTCACATTACACCTAACACCCATAGCCAGAAATTACATTATCTGACTATCAACCCAGTCAAAAATAGCTAGCGTTGCTCAAATCTTTCACTAATAAGCACTGATATCATGTCGTTCGCCTAAATCGTCGATACTATCGGACCCTGATTGAGATTTTAGTAGAAAGAAAAAAAACACCCTCACGTTTCTCTTCCTCAGCAACCTTTCTATGTGACTTCCTTTTTAGAAATCATAACACCAAAACATAAAAACACCAACGAACATCATCAAATTAAAATAGGTAATCGTACAATCAGCGATGCAACACTGTGACAATCACCAGCGACTCGTAAGCTCTGGTCTTCCAAACATCAGGTGAGACAGCTGAGTAATTTGTCTACATTGCTACAAGACCTTTTACTTTATTTCACAGCAGCTACCACAATCCCGAAATTTCCGAAGACAAAATCCAGAAAGAGGCTGTAATCGCACAATCAGCGATTCGGCACTGTGACAATCGCCAGTGCCGTTAAACCTAGTCGTTGTGACAATCACCAGCGACTTTCACAATCACAGAGTGCGGTGCAACCATGCGTTTCCTGTATTCGGAACGAACTCGTTCCACGAAAAGTAATTTTGGACAAACCACAGATTGCAAGAAAATACGACAACTGGAATCTTATGTATAGAATGCTATTATTGTGCATGTCTCTCTAGGTCGTATTATTATTGATGATTTTCAGAAAGAAGATTTTAAGTTTTCAGCAGAATAATACAGTTCCATAGTTGTATGATATGCAGATTATAGAGAAAAGTTTACTTTGCTGTGTATTTGCCATTTAGATTAGGGAGTTCCGGATCGCATTTAATCAATTGCTTAACATAATAGGAAAGAAATCTGTCCGATCGGCGAATGGAAGAAGTAACAAACAGTGATGGAGCAAAAGTCATCAAATCGGAAAATGTTCGAGATGCCTTTGAAGGCGAGTTACGGAAATCGCGAAATATATAACATTAGAAGGATCAATACTACGGTTTGTTCTTAGTTCTCCAAATGGATCATGCATACTTATACGAAGGGTTGGTTTCAGAGTTGTATGCGCAATGGAGCTGCTTATATATATTTTTAACTTGTCACTGCAACAACGTATCAAGGCTATAGATGGATTGATCGATTTGGAGTTGTGCCATAAAATCACTTCGTCATGGTTTTGGTTTCGATTGAAATATGGAAACAGAAGATTTCGGATGCCAGTAATTTATTCTTTTGGCACCGAAGTTATATGGAAAATAGCGCTTATTATTATTTTTTATTTGTTTATTGTACTGTTCTTATTCATTTTTACGCTCGACTTGCATTTTAGCAAAACGCATTTGTGTTTTGTTGTGTCAGAATTTTTACCGAGTGGCCGTGTGAAACGTGAATGTGATTTTTTACTTGCTTGTTTCTCTTTCTGTGTTAGTATGCATGCATATGAATAGTGTGATATTTGATGAGCGCTTTTGTGTGTTCAAGGTTCAACAGAGGGTATGGGTGTGGGGGTGCTAGGACAATTCATCACAGGACGATTCGTCGCAATGATGTAATCTAATAAAAATGTGTAAGTATTTTTTCATTTATCAAGGAAATCATAAAATTAGGTATCGAAAATAGAATTTAATGACTATGATAAACATTTGAAACACTTCGAAATAACTTGATTTTAATTTTTGATCACAGGATATCCCGGTATCACCATCAAGATAAGCACTCTAACTCTTACACCCTCACCTTTATAGATCAAAAATCTAAATCTAGTCGTTTTGAAGTGTTTCGAATACTTATCATTGTCGTTAAATTCTATTTGTCAAATTAAATTTTATGATTCACTTGATCAATTAAAAAATATGTATAGATTGTTATAGGATTATCGCGTTATGACGAATTGTCCGTCAGAAAAATTGTTCGCAACGAATTGTCGAAGAGTATCAGACCCTTGATCTCTTATCACTGCTTGACCAGATGAAATCGTACACAAAATCATGATCTTTCAAATCAAATACTAACTCATAGTTTCATATGTTCCGAGATGTCTTATTTAGTATCGTAGAAAACTGCTTAATGTTTCAAAAAATTGATATTACGAGTTACTGGAATGATTTGAAGATCTCTACTTACGGTACAGTTTGCATCTGATATCTTACAAAATCTTTTCATGCTAAAACGTATTGTGTGGTAGTTAGTGATCACTGCTCGATTTCGTTATTTATGTTCGAAGGAGGCGAACTTCGAAGAAGTCAGATATTGAGGGATAGGGAAATTTAGAAAGACAGCGACGAGGTTAAGGTTGTATTGTAGGAAAATTATAGTTTAAAATACCGAAAATAAACATAATCTTAAATTGTTCGCATTTGTACCTTTTGTAGCAAGCCATATATATCGGAAAACTACCTTTCTTATGAGGCATTTGCAAATTTCGAAAATGGTTCTGGTTTCGAAGTGGTGAAGTAAATCATTGAATCCGGAAGAGTTCAGAGAATTTTCATCTTTTACGACCATTTGTAGGTACCAATATGGTTATCTACACTAAGCTGAAATATTTTTAATCTGGCGTACTTTCTAACATGTAAACTGTTACTCTTTTTTTTACGCGACTATCTTTTCTTCGTAATGTTCAAATAGATTCCTTGACACCATTCAGACAAAACCTATCTCGTTCACAACTCTTTTGAAACACCATATCTTTCCGCCTAATAATTTAGAAAATGTTTTTTTCTTACGAAGGATTGCCTACTCTCAATCACAACGGTAGATTTGTGCTCAAAATATTTTTGTCAAATTCAGTTCAACTAATTTGTATGAAGGAATGTTTTAACAAGACAGACAGATCCTCTAGAACACATGTGAAAAGTTTGTTTTATTCAATCGAAGAGCACTAGATAGTTGTGCTTTCATGCATGGGGAACGATTTATCCATCCGAAAAAGAAGAAATTTGACTGTGGGAAAGGTTTGAAAAGTTTTGAAAATCTTTAGAAGACTTCACCAATCCAGGTTGATTTGAATTTAACTAATTCCATAGGAACATTTTAGGTAGTCGAATTTACGCTACCGATAGTCGACTGCACGCATTTTAGATATTTTTGATTTTATGAGAACTATTTATTTATCTTTAATAACTAGTTTGATTGGGGAACATTCTTTCGTTCATCTCTTTTTTAGATTTCGATCATTTGAAAGATGTGTAGATGGTTCCAGTGATATTTGTTTCAATAATTGAAAACGATTCATTTCTTTGTTTAATATTCAGATCGTGTGAAACATCACTAGACGATTGTGGCGATCATTTTTTCATGTAAAAAATACTTACTGGTCGTACCAAGTATTTTTTATTTTAACGATTCTGTTTTGATAGTAGTAAGGGTCAGTTTAATACTAAAATGTGTAGGTACTTTACTATGACTGTCGGCCTAGGAATGATCTCCTCTAAACGGTTTCAGCATTGAATTGTGTAAAAGTTGATTCATCTTTGGGCTAGTGTTAAATTTGTGTGAGTATCAGACGGAATGTTTTTTTCATGTGACTAAAAAAGAGGACTGATTATCCATTTCTCGTGATTTGCGGTTGAGAACGTCGAGAAGGAATTCTCGTAAACGGTTTTATATGTTTTCAAGATCGGTTTTCGATGGTAAATGTTATTTGCATTTTTGGTTTTCTGATTTTGTCACTATCGGAAACCTATTTTAAGTTTCCAAGGACACTTTTTTTCAGCGAGTACCAAGATTTGACGAGACAACTAGTCAACTAGATGTGTATCTGTGCCTTCAGTTGCTAGCAAAAAGTGAATCAAATTTCTTCACCTTCTAAAAGTATATGATGCCCTTTTTCCAAGGTTATATCCCTACGGAACATAGAATAGTTTCATGTTAAATTGGATCTGTTTACAAGTGTCTTATTTTTGGCATCCTTTTGAAAACTTATTTTAATTATTTTTTCGTTTTTACAAAATCTCTGAACCGTAATATTCAAAAATCACAAAAGATAAGATCAGACTGTTGAACGACGTCGAAATGCGTCATAGTTTACTCTGTAGAATCTTCTACGTCGATATATTTTCTGTTACTTTTATTCACGCTACCTTTGCGCATTGAAGTAAAAAAAAATAAAGTGATGAGATACTGAAATTGACATATTGCAGAAAATCTAGAGATATCGTCGATCTTAGCTACAGCTGACACTAATAAAAATCGTCAGATGTAATTAACTGTGCTACGAATTTCATTGACGAATTTTGCCAGGTCGGTATATAGTGACGTCAATTGATATGAGATCAATGGGACTTATATGAAAATGTTATTTGATGACAGTTTTAATACTTGGTCAGCTTTGGTTATCAGCATCGTCAAACGTGATATACACGTTAACTCCCTTTGGGAAACCAGATGTATTGTGATGGCTACCACCGCTATTACCTGGTGCATCATGAAATGAGAGTGTTTGCATTGTACGTACTATGAATAACTTCACATGAAATTGAGCTAAATTTGAGCCATAGCATCGGCGGAGACCACCGCCAAAAGTCATTAATGCTTGTGGTGGATAATTTTTATCGTGTTCAAGAAAGCGTTCAGGCACAAAAGCGTCTGGACCTGCTGGATGTCGCCAAATATTTTTACTTCGATGAATACTACGAGTGGATAACATTATGCGATCGCCAACAGATAATGGGATGCCATCGATTACATCGTTCTCTATCACCTGACGTTGTACCGTTTCGACGATGGGTGCGTGACGTAGGATCTCTTTGAGTACACAATCAACATAGGAAAGACTGTAAATTAAATCAGAAGTGAGAGGCGTAATCCTCGTGATATTGCGTTCATTAAGTTCCCGTTTAATCCCTGCCTGAACCTGAGGATATTTACTCATATAAAATATGAACCAGGCGTAAGCTGATGATGAATCATATGCACCACCAAAAACAGACAAAATCCAATCTCGCAATACTTCCCGTGACAAGCTAGAGATCTCTGAAAATAAAAAAAACAATAGATATGAAAGAAGACACTGATGGAGGTATACGATTCTAACTTTCTTCAACATTCGCTTTCGTTGTGCTAGATTGATCAACAGCTACATTAGCTGCGTCTAAAAGAGCCGTTTGTGGTTTGTTGTCACTCATATCATCATGGCTATCTCTTTGTAGGCACACTAAATAATCAATCATATCTTCCACTAATGGTTTCATGACGTGGACAGCACGTCGACACTTTGAATTCAAGTTAAACAGGACATTACCGATTGAATCCGGAATAGAATACCGCACAATTAATGCAGCATGCTCAGCAACATCTGCCATAGCTGCAAGTATACGATTTGCCCGTTGGACATCCTCTTCATTGTCTCCAATAATCTGTAAGTTGTAGTTGGCACAAAAATGTGTAGAATTAAGTTGGAAAGCTAAGATGGAAACACGATCAACTAAATCTGTATGCAAACTCGGTGTACTCTGAAACCCTTGTTGTCTGAGCACCAAAATCCATTCGTCAATTCTTTGTAGTATTGCATCTGTATGCTGCGCCATATTTGATTTCTGAACAAGTGGATTTAATATACGTTTGACGCATTGATGTTGATGACCTACGAAATAATATAAATTCGAGTAAATATTTGTCACTTTTATTGCACAATAAAAACTTCGATGAAAGATTTATCAATCTGCATGCGTTGATAGTTTTAGATAAATTTGCTTTCAAGTAAGAATTTCTTACAAATCTTATGGAGAAACTCTTACAAGCTCGGGCGACAAGCTGTGTGCAATTCTAATCGTAACCTTCACGGTTTGTCAAGTCTCTTTTTTTGCTTTGTATTTAGAGCTATAGTCGGTCTAGTATAAGCTCTGTTTCATAGAACCGTGCTAGATTTCATGATAAAATATTCCATAAACTTTGTAAATTACAGTTTACTCCAGTCCAGTATTTATGAAAAAAATGTCGTTCAATCTGTGTAAGATATTTCTCAGTTGCTGTTCTTTAGGAAAGATTAAGATGATTTATTTTTGAGAAATTCGTCCATTTTGATGCAAGAATAGAGAACAGTTGTTAGTACAACCTAATTGGACTAGAAAAATGAATTCAAAGAAAAATTTTTCAACCTTAATATGGTTAATTTAATTACTTGATTAGAGCCTTCATTCTCTTTTTACGAAAACAATAGTGACACTATCATCATTAGAGTGCAACATAATTGTAGTGTTGAATCACAACAACAAGCACATTTACAAAACATATTTTTTAATCTGTTTATCTTGTCTACATTTTGACTCACAATAAAGGTTTTCCTCATCAAAACAAAATAAAGCTCTGCCATTTATGCCTACTATAAAAATTAGATTTTTAATCTTTCTTTATTCTTATTCTTTACTCAGCGGTTTGTAACAATATTTTAATGAACAGACAATCGAATCATAATAGTGAATACAATGCTTAATTTAATATGATGAATATGAACTAATCAGACATAGCCGAAACACTAATTGCAACATATGTGCCTTCAGTATATTGATAATTACAGTTCCCCTATTTTCGTCTCATCTGTAAATCGATTTCGAAATGAACAACTATTCAATTTTATATCTTTTACGTACAAATTTTGGTAAAATTAGCAAAATACATATCATTCTTGGATGCAATATCCTAATTCTTTTAATATCGAGTTTGATAAGTAAATGCTGATCAGTGAAAATCTACAGTCATTGAAACGTTCGAAATAAAAATTAGTATCTAGTCAATGTTGAAAATGTTCATATTAATTTCAATATCTTTATTTCAGACCCTCTTCTTGAGAAACAAAGATTAACTAGTTTTCAAATGACATTCTACTTGATTGAAATCCAACAAGAAATACAGTCACAACTCCTATTTATAATTAACTTAATTAAACTTTTTATAAGTACTATCACACAGCAAAGCAAACATAAGCCAACTTATTTACATAACCTACTATTGTTATTGCGTACTGATATATATATAGACAGACAGACTGTCTTTGTCAACATTTCAAAAAATACAAAATTACATTCTGTCTTTCAAAAATCTTTTAAAAACTGATCTTTAATTTTCAGCTTTAACTTCCTTTTCATATACAAATTTTTACTGCATCCTCCTTTACTGATGAATCAGTTTGAGGTTTTCTTGGAAAATTTTGATTTTCTAGTATAGCTGTGATGCTAAAATTTAGAGCTTCGTACTCATTCAAAAATGTAGAATATTCATGCTCATCTATAACTATTCGCGTAAGTTTTAATAATTATCGTTAAATGTACTAATTTTCTTTGAGACATGTAACAAATAAATTTTAATTGATATCAAACTAATTGAACGACTTCTTTATTTTTGTTCCAATGATACTAAAATCACAGTATAAGCCTTTAGTTTCTTGAATTTTATTCTGAATCTCAACAGTTAGAGTGCATCAATCCTTGCTAGAAGTTGATCCTTACGTCAGTTACGGCTCCTATTCAAGAGAAATATTTCAAATTTTTATTTCAAATAAGCATGATATGATTTACGAGCGCTTGCTTTTCATAATGATAAGAAATCAAGCCAATGCTATTTCGAAAAGGATGGTTCCCTCCTTTTTACAAGAAGCAGATCAGTTTTTTTTAATGAATAAACAAGAGGAGAAAACATTTCAAGTTATCTATCGATATGTATCTATAGAAACAAAGTGACGCATTCTGAGAGACCAACTACGCTCATTTTAAGAATTTTGTTATCTCATGAATTGAGCAATTTAGTCAATGCAAACTTTTCTAAAAAAATTCAGTCATCTATAAAAACAACAAACGAATTTACTGAAACACATTTGCGTGTTAATATTTTTGCAACATACCTCTCAGTGCTTCCAATCCATGTGGTTGAAATGGTCGGAATGCGCTCATTTCGCCTTCCGTTCGTTCATATTTTGTCATATTTTTGCTACGCAATACATGCATAGCGTGCTCTAATTTGTTAAATACAAAGAAGCAGTTCGGACCATTCCAGTATTGAAAAATATCACCGTATTTTTCACGTAGCTTAATACATACATTCGTCAACGATTCACCTTTCAAAATACCCAATTGCCATAGATTACCGATTAGGAGTTGTGGTTTTAATCCAGGTACATCACTTCGAAATTTAGAATCACGTTGTTTTCTTATGTAAAAGAACAATGCAACGAAGAAAATAGTGATAAGACTCAGTATTTGTATCATTCTACAAACCATGGATCAGGATCGTAACACTGAATTTTTATAGAACACTAATGTGGTAAACTCAATTATAATAATCTGGAATACCGCGAGTCAATATTACTTTGTATGGTTAGTTTGAATCGAAGAATAAATGTATATTTGATTTTCTGAATATCTAAAAATAAAAATTTCACATTCCTTAGAAAACTGAAGTTGAAATTCCGTCTTTTAACGGAGAAATTTTGCAGTGTCACAATAGACATTGAGTAAACGACTCGACAATCAATAACAAGAGTCAAATTAAACAATCAGAAATGATAGCTTCTTGCACTACTTGACAAAGGCTTTTATTGCAATTTATTGATCTAGTATGTATGTAAATATTTTCAACGCTGAGAGACAACAGAAAAAAGACTATTTAAAATTTTCAGAAGTATCCATTGTGGACTGAAACTACGTCTAAGTGTTAAGCAACGCATTTAGATACTAGCAATTTAAAATTTTCTGCATTAGTGTAATTATTGTATTTAACAGTGTTTGATTAGTAAAAAGCATCAATGAGACCTTGTTTATTTTTTCTATTCGGGACTAAAATGTTGGCATGTAAAGCTTGATTTTTACCATTCGATCAAACCACACACACGATAACATGCGAAGTGTAACTCAGGTAAGTGATGCATGAAAATTTACGTTAATATGCATAGTTTCATCTCTTATTTTCTCGAATGATTAATAAAAACAATACATTCTCTACTGCTGTATGTCTCATTCTCGTTGCATTCAACCATAAAAAGAGACAGAGATTACTCATGATACGATTATTAGTATCTAATTCATACATGCTTAACATCTCGACAAGATTACTTTACACAAGACAGAAAATGAAAGCGAAAAACAAACGAGAAAAAGAACGAAGTTTTATACAGTTAGAAGATAAATGTAGAGAGGCAAATAATTTCAAACTTTTAAAAAGTCTGAGAATACATCCTATTCCGCAATGTTGAACATTCCGGAACCAGTTCCGCTCACGGAACCAATTCCATCTAATTCCGGCGATTCCGTTTACCACTCACAACACAATTCCGGAATTCCCAGAATCACTTTTCACACAATTCCGGAATTCCCGCAATCACTTTTCACACAATTCCGGAATTCCCGCAATCACTTTTCACACAATTCCGGAATTCCGGGAATCGCTGGCTACCAATTCCATCCAATTCCCGGAATTCCGTTTATCCTTTCCGACTGAATTCCGGAATTCCGGGGATCGCTGCATACCAATTCCATCTAATTCCCGGAATTACTTGCGATTCCGGAATTGAGTGATCAGTGGATAATCGATACGTCTCACAGCTTGGTGATGAATACAATTCCGGTACGGAATTCCGGGAATTCGGTCGGACCGGAATTGAGTGATCAGTGGATAATCGATACGTCTCACAGCTTGGTGATGAATACAATTCCGGTACGGAATTCCGGGAATTCGGTCGGACCGGAATTGAGCGGAATTGTACGGAATTGAGCGGAATTGTACGGAATTACACGGAATTCCAAGGAATTACACGGAATTCCAAGGAATTCCGTCTAATTCCCAGCGATTCCGGAATTCAGTGCACCCACACTGACATCCACACCCGCACTGACACCCACACACTGCAATTCCGGTACGGAATTCCGGGAATTAGGTCGAACCGGAATCGAGCGGAATTGAACGGAATTACATGGAATTCCTAGGAATTCCGTCTAATTCCCAGCGATTCCGTGCAGACCTAATTCCCGGAATTCCTTACCGGAATCGGATCATGACTACATTGATAAGCGAAGATGGAATAGTTATAGAAGTTGTAATTCCGGAATTGGACGGAGTTCCGTGTAATTCCTAGAAATTCCGAGTGATTCCGGTTTCACCTAATATCGGAATTTGACTGAATTCCATGGAATTCCGGGAATCGGACAATGTTCATGTTTGACCTAGTACCGGAATTGACGGAACTGATTGCGGGGGCGGAACTGGTTCCGGAATGTTCAACATTACGGAATAGGATGACTGCTCAAAAGTCTGAAAATAATATCAAAAGCAAACTTGTCGATACAGCTCTACTCTTAACTAAAAGAGAAACAGAGTTGACTCAAATATTCTCTTTCTCCTCTAGCATCAGTTTTGAAAATTTCTGAAAAGTCTATAATGTCCTTGAAAATATGTCTTCTAATAAAAAAGACTCGTGGTAAAAGTCTCAGTACGTGGTGGTTCGTTATGATTAAGCGTCCAGAATATATCATTCATTATAAATATTGTATAGTAATAAAATATGAATAACACTCATTGATCATGCCAGTAATACAATTTTATTATTTTTATAACAGGTCTGATTTTATTCTTAATTAGTAACAAAGCATAATATTCATATCATCAGTGTTATTCCGTGATTTGATTACGATCAAACAGATTCTATACCGATTTGTCTAAGTTCATACTCCACTTGTTATTTGAATAATTTATAATGAAAGATGTCGATCCTCACTTCTTTTCAAAACGAAATTAATGAAATGAATCTTTAGATTTAGAATTGCTCATTTCTTGTTGGAGACGACCAAATATTCATGAAGCATGTTATTTAAGGATTACAGTGTGTAACACCATGTTTTGAATAATACTATACGTACCATATAATTATCTACATACACTGAGGAAGACTTTATTGATTCAATATATCTACATACTGATTACTAGCAAGACGCGTAAAAATCATCTTTTGACGACGATGTTTTCTTGTGTGACTTATTAGATGAAAATTATCTGAGTTCTCAAGAGAAAGGTTCCGATGGTAATGATACTTCGAGAGTTACTGTTTTCCTAGTAATCTCTTCAAGTGGGTCATAAAAAGTAGAAAAGCAAATTTTCTTTGTATTATTCAGTTTTGTGGATTCAATAAAAATTTGAATTGCTGCTTTCTTTTACTAACCAGAAGCTCATAGAATATCGATAAACAGAATAAAACTATCTTTTTACCTCAATGCAGAGTATAGTTCTACCAGTGTTAACAAGAAACATCTAATTGGTTTGTTTAAAGGCAGTTGTTTAATAAATCGTGACTCGATATGATTTGTAGCAGAATTGCGTTCACATATTTCTGGAGAAGACATGTCTATACAGGTAAATTATGTTTCAATGTATACTCTTTCATACTAATTACTTTGTCTTAGTGATATTTGCCGGGATTTACAAGTAGTTCAAAGGAAAACACATTTAGATGTATGACTTAGCGAGTTTCTATAAATTCTTGTGCCTATTACACACTTATGTTTCCTACTTTATCAAATCGGTAAACAATTCTGTCTATGTAACTAGTATAAATATTGAAAACAAATTCATTTTTGATACATTTTTATACAGCGAGATCGGAATTTTATACTTATTTTAACAATTTAAAGATAGCTTTATAAAATTTGCTGGCTCTAAATGGCTCTACTCATTTTGACATATACAAATCATGATTTAACTTTCAGTCAAATATCTTTACCTTATCGCAAAGAAAGAAAATACGAGGCAAAAAATATACTTTGCTAGAATACATGAGAAATTATATATGAACAATCTTTGGTGCAAATATTTTCTTAAACAAGTATATATAAGAACACATCATCCAATACGATTGCCACGTTCTTTGACATCAAGTTCAGGCTCAGTAACGTGTCGAAAGCTTTTGATTATTGCCTTGCGATTTATCCACCTCATATGATTTTCTACTTTGTGATTATTAAGTATATCTTGAGTATAAAAATGGATTCAATTTGGATAGTACTACTTTTTTTTGCATTTTCTCTTCAATATGATTGTCCAGTGAGCACGATCAATGAATAATTTGACGAGTCAAAATCAATGCTTTTTCTCTAAATTTCACATAATTCTTTACAAGAAGATCAAGACATTCGAGTCTCTAATTTTTGAATCGAACGATTGAAATACCAGTATTTAGCATCTCAATATTCGAACTCTTGTCTTTTGACCTTCCAATATTTTAAGCGTTGAGCCTGTTACAACTAGATTATGCCGAAACGTTGTAGGATTTCAATAAAAATATTGTGAGATGTTCATTGTGAGTAGATTCTACACGCTTCTACTTAAACCAATAATCAACTGCACAGCACGAAATCAAGATTTCTTCAATTGGTTCTAAAGAAGTGGACACGGATGATGATTAACTCAACTATAATACCAACAGCGGCAACATTCAGATAATACTGATATCTCATTGAGTCATGAGAAGTGTTGTGATAATGCGACTCCTTGAAGTTTTCTACTTCGTGTACTATTACTTATTTTGATCCAATGAAAGGTTTCGGAAAGAAAACCTGTATAAAACACGGTTTCCGCGGTAGCGTTTGGACGTAAATATTGGTTTTGCTGGCAGGCCCTCTGTTATTTTTTGAATCGCCATTTTTCTGTTAATAATTTCGATTGACAATACCATTTGAATATTATTTGTGGTAAACACTTCTTGTGATCCACCCGTTAACACCAAAACTATCGTTCAGAAGTGTCCTCGGCTGTGCATCCATAAATTGTTTCTTGTGCCTTCAAACATATACATATCCAGCGATCTTCAATTGAAATTTGTTTTTCCATATATGTATTCGATAGAGTCTCTTTAAATTTCTTGTCGTGGTAAAAACAACATTCGTTTTTACAAGTAAGTTGAACTCAATTTTGATAGCCTTAGTCACTCTCTAAAAACAAAAAGGTGTCGTACTGAACCATTTATGGTCCAAGAGAGGGTCTAGAACCTTTTACGGTTCTAGATTTGGGTACCATTTTAAGTTCAAGCCTTTTTGGCTAGAACTTTAAAAGGATTCTCAAAATGGTACCGAGAAAAGGTTCAGTACGACACCTTTTTTTTTACAGAGCATATAATATACTAACGCTAAACGAACATTAAGATGCTCTTATAGTCTAAGTGGTTAGGACATCTGCTTAGACAGCGGAAGGGTGTGAGTTAATGCCCAACGGAGTTGACTTTTTCATCGTTCTGTTATATAACATCAGTGATACTGTTTCCCTTTACGTTCCACACATATGAAAGCCTACAAATTTGATGTAAATATTCTGAGCACAATCCACCGTTGAGATTTAAACTATGCAGGTCTTGATAAGATAAACATTATTTTAGATTATTAGGCGGAAAGATATGGTGTTTCAAAAGAGTTGTGAAGGAGCTAGGTTTCATCTGGTCAAGTAGTGATAAGAGATCTAGGATCTGATATTCTTCGACAATTCGTCGCACGAAAATTTGTCGCGGGCAATTCGTTGCGAATAATTTTTCTGAAGGACGATTCGTCATAATGCGATAATCCAATAACAATCACTACGTATTTTTTAATTGATCAAGTAAATTATAAAATAAAATTTGACAAATAGAATTTAACGACTATGATAAGTATTCGAAACAGTTTAAAACGACTAGATTAGAGTTTTGATCTATACAGGTGAGGGTGTGAGACATAGGCGGCGGAGCCATTAGGCGTGGGTAGGCGCAAGCCTACCCTAGAATAAAAGTGGGTCGGCTTGGGTAGGCTCAACCTAAGACAGGTCAAAGGCTTGGGTAGGCTCAAACTATAAGAATTGAACGCTTGAGTAGGCTCTATTACATGTAAACGTATCTTCTTATAGTTCAGTTTTTGTTGTTATGACAGATGACGCATTATTACATGATCAATCGATATTTTTTTCTACCAGTACGAACTCGTATTCAATTCAATTCAATTTAATGAAAATTGGTAAAACTATGTTTTATGAATACTGCAAATTGATAACATTATATCTGACAGAACCTGTAACAACAGCCACTGCCGAAAGATCGTTCAGTGTTCTTAATAGAATACAAACGTATTTACGCTGCACAATGAGTCAACAAGGTTTAAATCACGTTATTATTCCTCACATTCATAAAGATAAATTAGATTTACTTGATTTAAAGAGCGTCTGTTCTGATTTTATTTCAAAGAATGAAAATAGAAAACATTTTTTGGTGCTGTATGATTTTATTATGTTTTAGACTTGTTTTATTTTTTAAGTAGTTGTTCTGTGATACTTCGTTATTTCTTGGTTTATCTCAAAAAAATAAAGCACTATAAAGCTATCACACCTATACAGAATCAAAATCTAGCAAGAAGGCGTATGACGTCTAGCATTGAAAAAATATGATGAGCGTCATTTTCTCACTATCTTCCTGACATAATTTCGCTGGAAAATTGAGCCTACCCTAGATTGAAATCGTTCCGCCGCCTATGGTGTGAGAGTTAGAGTGGCTTTCTTGAGGGTGATACCGGGATATCCTGTGATCAAAAATTAAAATCAAGTTATTTCGAAGTGTTTCAAATGTTTATCATAGTCATTAAATTCTATTTTCGATACCTAATTTTATGATTTCCTTGATAAATGAAAAAATACTTACACATTTTTATTAGATTACATCATTGCGACGAATCGTCCTGTGATGAATTGTCCTAGCACCCCCACACCCATACCCTCTGTTGAACCTTGAACACACAAAAGCGCTCATCAAATATCACACTATTCATATGCATGCATACTAACACAGAAAGAGAAACAAGCAAGTAAAAAATCACATTCACGTTTCACACGGCCACTCGGTAAAAATTCTGACACAACAAAACACAAATGCGTTTTGCTAAAATGCAAGTCGAGCGTAAAAATGAATAAGAACAGTACAATAAACAAATAAAAAATAATAATAAGCGCTATTTTCCATATAACTTCGGTGCCAAAAGAATAAATTACTGGCATCCGAAATCTTCTGTTTCCATATTTCAATCGAAACCAAAACCATGACGAAGTGATTTTATGGCACAACTCCAAATCGATCAATCCATCTATAGCCTTGATACGTTGTTGCAGTGACAAGTTAAAAATATATATAAGCAGCTCCATTGCGCATACAACTCTGAAACCAACCCTTCGTATAAGTATGCATGATCCATTTGGAGAACTAAGAACAAACCGTAGTATTGATCCTTCTAATGTTATATATTTCGCGATTTCCGTAACTCGCCTTCAAAGGCATCTCGAACATTTTCCGATTTGATGACTTTTGCTCCATCACTGTTTGTTACTTCTTCCATTCGCCGATCGGACAGATTTCTTTCCTATTATGTTAAGCAATTGATTAAATGCGATCCGGAACTCCCTAATCTAAATGGCAAATACACAGCAAAGTAAACTTTTCTCTATAATCTGCATATCATACAACTATGGAACTGTATTATTCTGCTGAAAACTTAAAATCTTCTTTCTGAAAATCATCAATAATAATACGACCTAGAGAGACATGCACAATAATAGCATTCTATACATAAGATTCCAGTTGTCGTATTTTCTTGCAATCTGTGGTTTGTCCAAAATTACTTTTCGTGGAACGAGTTCGTTCCGAATACAGGAAACGCATGGTTGCACCGCACTCTGTGATTGTGAAAGTCGCTGGTGATTGTCACAACGACTAGGTTTAACGGCACTGGCGATTGTCACAGTGCCGAATCGCTGATTGTGCGATTACAGCCTCTTTCTGGATTTTGTCTTCGGAAATTTCGGGATTGTGGTAGCTGCTGGAGAATATAGTAAAAGGTGTTGTAGCAGTGTAGGTGAATCGCTGAACTGTATTACCTGATGTGAACGAGAGCATAGTTCACAAGTCACTGGTGATTGTCACAACGACTAGGTTAAACGGCACTGGTGATTGTCACAGTGCCGAATCGCTGATTATGCGATAACGGCTTCGTATTAGATGTTGTTATTCGGTCTTCGGCGTTTGGATATTGTGGACGTTTCGGAACTAAATGTAGTGAAATCGTAGATAGAAAAGAGGCTCAGAGGAATAGGTTTTATGTTTTGTGTAGAAAATCAATGCGTTGTAAGGGTTTTTGTTCGTCAGATTGAGCAGGCTTAGCTTAATTACACAATAAAATAAAGAATATTTTCAGTGATTTGCGAAGGATACTCTGAAATGGCCATTACCGTTGTTACTCAAATGAAAATGTTGCTTTATACGTGAAAGTATGGTTTGTGCGGTAAATAAATAGAAATACGGATTAAATATTTTAAAATAAGGATGTGAGCGTGAGTATTTGTGATTGTGTGGGTTTCCTTGCGGAGTAGTTATAGACTCAAACACAAACCGGCACGATCAATCACTGATGCTAAAAATGATTCACTATGCTAAAAGTAAAGTTTCAATGAGCAAACTATACTCAGCGTAAGTAAAATAACGGATTGAATGATCAGTTAAAATTACTCAGTACTAAAATGAATGTCTCCATTATTTTTGACAAAACTATCACGGCTCATTAGCATATATTGGATAGATTGAGAAAAGACATATTTCTTACGTATTAGAAATAAAATCCAGTTATTAGTCAGACTTTTTGTGTTTAAAACAAATTCAACGGAATACAGTAACGAGTATCTGAAGGAATTATTTATACTTGCTCAATTTTAATAATCACACTCACATGAGAAAAGAACATGTTTTGTTTTATCGTATCAGCTTCAAGTCTCTCTAGAAAAAAAGTAGTATATTCGTTACTAACTACAATGCAATTTTTATATGCATTTCTTATGTTTCTTGGTGATTTAAAAAAATACAATCCTTGATGTACTTACCATGTAAAGTGATATTGGTAGAATGCGAAGCAATATTTGAGGTATTAATACTCGTATAGAAGAAAAAAAGAAAACTCGACGAAGCATGACTGCTGAAGAAATAATCAATAAAATTACGTTTGATTCATACTTCGACCATGCGCTGTAGCTAGTGAAGCGTTAAGAATTATATTTTTATGTATTAGTCCTGGAGACTTTCGTGCCTTGTGTATTAGTCACTCGTGTCTGTAATTAACTTAGAGCTGAACGAGAACGAGTCTCACATAAGATGAGTTGTAACAAAGCTACTGAGAGACCCAGGATCACATCACTCTTTGATTTCAACAATCTGATTGATATTGGAATATCAGATGCAATTCATATGATTTTACACATTAGTCGGTAGTTTTAGCTCAAATAGGTCAGTCATTCAGCAAATATCGATATTGCAGATGGGGCGGTCCCTTTTCATCCTCTTTTTTTTTACGGACATCGGTCGGAGAAGTCCATTCCGAACTTCAGTTTCCGGATGTTCGGAATGAAAACGCCGGAAGGTCGGAATGAAAAAGACCGGGTGTTCGGAATGAAAGTCGTCTA